ATGGTTATGTAAAAACTTTTAAGTAAATAGGTTGTTTTTGAAAATTTTAAATTTGTTGTGATTTTTGAGACGTTAGAGTTAGAGGGAGCACGTGAAGCTTGATTCGCCACAGGGAAGGAAGAGAGTTGTTGAGAGGTGGTGGATGCAGGTACTTGGGTGAGAGCCTCGGGAGTGAGTTCTTTCTCAATTCGTGCCTCTTCATGAAGAAGGAGGCCAACGAGGTCATCAACAGTGGTGAAGTCGGCTTTCATAAGAAAGGCAGAGGCAAAGGAGTTGTACGAAGAATCCAATCCGTTTAGAATGCAACCCATCAAGTTCTTATCAGTCATTGGGGGTGAGATTCTCATCCAAGCAATCTGCAAGTCGTCGCTTCTTTTTCTAAATAATTGATCATGGAGAATGTGCCCTTGGGCATAGTTTTGTGATTGGGTATTTAGGGCCATGCGTTGAGCACATGTTTGGGCCTGAAAGTTGCGCTCATGTGTTTGTCAGGCATGTTGGGAAGTAGTAGCCCTAGCGACGACAGCAAGGGATTTATCAGTGAGAGTCGACTTCATCCATAAAAGAACGAACCAATCCTTTTTCTTCCCAGTGGTGAATTCGGGATTGGGAACAGGAGCAACGTTTGGGGGCATAACTCCTTCTGCATCAGTAGTAGGTGCTATTGTTGCAGGTGGCGGTGAAGGGTTGAGAATGAAAGAGTCCAAATCAAAGCAATCAAGAGTGGAGACGATGGTTGTACGCCAGAGAGAATAATTCTATCGATCAAGCTTTATGCTAATAGAGGGAATATGGAAATTAAGAGTGGTAGAGGCAATTTGGGCGATGACAAGAAGTTGTGCAGTGATGGCCGTGGTGAAATTACTCACGTAAAGAAAGGGGAAAATTTGGTATGTGACCTTACAACTCTGATATCATGTAAAGGTATAGAAGTAATATGATTGAAGTAATTTCTTGTATTCATTCAGTGTGGTGTACATATATACAGAACTAGAGAACTCTAACTCCACATAAACAGGAGTTGAGAAACACGTGAGAATAAGAGCCTAAAGACTAGGACTAATTGACTAAGTTACAAGACTAAATCAAAGCTAATATAATTCTGAATATTTATGTTATTACCATGTAAGGCGGAAACTTTTTGAACCTTATCTATAATTTTTGCAAAACTACAATGACCAATTTTGCAGTTTAGTTATTTATCTATTTGTGGATGAAACATGCACCTTTGAACGATATAGAATGTGCGGGACGAGGGAAGATTCGTGTAATTTACTCTAAAATTATATATGATTGTACAGTTGTTGATGAAATTTGTTGGATTTTACTAAAATGAACCACTAACTTACGCCTCTTACAAAGTATAAGTAGGTTTTTACTAAATTGAGCCACTAACTTGAGCCTCTTATCAAGTATTTGTTTTATTGGAGTCGTATAAATAAGCTCAAGTTACATAAATGGCCGAGGACATCCACACATGTGCTATTAGACCTTCCGGTATACGTGCAACGAGGGTTCTCGTGGTTGAGGTTGACCACGACCACAACCGTGCACACGATCCCGGTCGGTCGTGGTCGTTATGGTCCGTGTTCCCGACGACGAAATGAAACGCCCAATCAAATCAATTTCCTTTCTTTTGACCGTTCAACGGTCAATTTGTTAAGTTAATTTTTTTTCTTTTTCTTCAAAAACTTAATACCTATATAAATCTAATAAAATCCTCACATTTCATCACATTTTACTCTCATTCTAAACCAAAAAACACATGGAGGATTTGGAAGTGTTAAAATTTTTTGACTTGGATGATGACAGAGAATTCATTTCGACATTCTTCAATGTTGTGCAACACATTCACGATGAAGAAAGTTCGAATGTTGCTCGTACAAGGGCGGTCGTCAATTGTGATCGTCAATCTGCACACGACTTATTGGTACATGATTACTTCGCTGATAAATGTCTTTACAATGATGACGCATTCGAACGTCATTTCCGTCTAAATACGAGTATATTTTTTACGTATCAGTAATGCTTTAGAAGCCCGTTATCATTTTTTCAAACAAAAACCCAACGCTAAAGGAATAATGAGTTTTAGTAGTATACAAAAGTGTGCGACTGCGCTTAGGTATTTGGGATACGGTATAGCATTTGATGCATCTGACGAATACTTCAAAATATCCGAGAGGACCGCAATTGATTGTGTAGATTGGTTTTGGGCATGTGTGTATGAGGTTTTTCATCAAGAATATTTGCGAAACCAACTCCACGTGATATTGAGAGATTATATTCGACTCATGAAGAGAGACATGGATTTCCGGGTATGCTTGGCAGTCTAGATTGTACGCATGTGGCTTGGGAAAAATGTCCAAATGCATGGAGTGGTCAATTCACTCGAGGAGATATATGTGAACCAAGTATAATCCTAGAAGTTGTCGCATCTCAAGATTTATGGATATGACATTATTTTTTTGGAGTCGCGGGGTCTAACAACGACATTAACGTTCTTGACCAGTCTCTACTTTTGAACGATCTTTGGACCGACAAAGCACCTGATATGACGCTCACAGTGAACAGACATTCATACAAATAATGTTACTACCTTTGTGATGGGATACACCCGGATTATTCTACACTTATGAAGGCATATTCGGTTCCTCGAAGTGAAAAGGCAAAGTTGTTCACAAAGAGACAGGAATCAGCGAGGAAGGATATCGAGAGGGCATTTGGAGTCCTCAAGCAGAGGTGGCATGTAGTGAAATACACTACATGACTTTGGGATAAGGATAGAATTAAACGGATGGTCCTAGCATGTATTATAATGCATAATATGATCATTGAAGATCAAGGTCGATCGATTTGCATGTATGATCGAGACGACGTCATCATCCCGCTTGAAGAGTTTGTACCCGGAACGAATAAATTTTTATCACGAGCTGTTGAAATTTATAACAGCGAAACGTGTTTCACTCTTCAAGAAGATGTCGCGGACCATTTTTACCAACTCAACATGAACGAAGATTAGTTTTTTTTTTAATTTAGGTTATTTATGTTAATGTAATGTTTTTTTATTCTAGGTTAATTAAGTAATGTTGTTTGAAGTTGTATTTTTATTTTTAATGTTTTTTTTAATTTTTTGTTTATATGATTTTTTATGTATTTTTATTTAAATTTAATTAAAAAAAATGAGGTGGATTGGTGTGTTTAGTGGTAGGTATCTCATGGTTAGTTGTAGGCAATATGGTGATGATGTGGCACTCACTACTATAGTGGTTAGTGGTGGTTATATCGGATGACCTTACCAAAAAGACATAACTTAACCCATATCAATATTAATATATTTTTTTAAATGGTCCCATTAAAAATTAAAAAACTATTTTATATATTTTAAAATATACTATGTTTTTCTCTATACATAGAGAATATATAATAAAAAATGAGTGGGTCTAGTATTTCAAAGCTTTCTAAACTGCAAAACTAAAACCTACATGACAAGATATAACCCGTTTGCAAGACCAATTTAAACAGCATTGTGGATGGTCTACACTTTTCTCCTTTATTGACAAACCACACACCACTCATTAATTTTTTTTTGGTGTATTAGGAAGTTACAAATGTAACACCTGAAGTTTCATCGATTACACATATTTTGATTTTATTTAAAATATGTTTTTTAGCTTTTTTTGTTTTTAAAATTACAGAAATAGTTCATGTCTACTAGGAAATTTAAAGATGATATCGAAAATATTGGATTAATGCATCTGCCGCAATATACAAATCACCCCACTAGTTATCCATAGGGAAAATGACTTGATAGGGTAAGTTACTTTTTGAAATGTACACATTTAGTCATTATTTTTTTTTTTGTAAATTAAACCCTTATACTTTATTAATATGTACACATTAGATCATTTTGACCGGATTCTATAGGTTTTGCTGATGTGGAAGCACACGTGGCACTAAAAACAACTCCATAAAAATTAATTAGCTTAGTCACTCCTTATAAATGAATGTTAACATCCAAAATCAGGAGGAATCACGGTTTTGTCGTAGAAGAAGAAAGAAGATGTCGAGTGGCTCAAGAATCTCCACGGGTTCAAGCAATCACAGAGTAGATAAGGAAGTCCTGTGTGATTGTAAACTCCCTACAAGAATTCATAACTCCAAGACCAAAGATAACCCTGGAAAGAAATTTCGAGTGTGCCCTAACTCATTGGTAAATACCTAAATTGATTTTATTTGTCAAATCGCATCAATTTTCTTCTTCTTACCTTCTATGTTGTTGATTTTATTACTACATAAACCAGGGGATCTCTTTCCCTGAAGCATCCTATCAAGTAAGGCGTGTAAGTCAACTTTCTATTGAATGGGAAAAAGTGTAAAGTTTGGGAATGGATTGATGAAGAACCTGAGAATATCAACCCCATTGTAGAAGATACTCTTTCAGATGTTGCAGATTATCTTATACAAGTTTTAGAAGATGTGGCATCTGTTAGAGAAGAAGTGAAACAGTTGAAGGTTATGGTTTGTGTACTGATTCTGCTGGTCATTGTTAAGGTTATGTTTTGGGGTTGAAGGTATGCTTCTGGAGGTTTTAGGGGATGTTGATGTAATAGACTTGTTGTGTAATTCTTGTTTATGTAATGGATGTTCATGTACTTTATGTTTATGTAATGGTAAAGTTTATTGCTATTATATATGGATGTTGATGTAATTAAGTCAGTCAAATGGAGGTAAAACCAAGACAAATTAAAAGAAATATTATTTTATATACAATTGGATGTAAAGGCAAATAAAAGTGGCTGACAAAAGGCATCAAGCCATTTAATAATTACAAAAGATAAGCCCACCAGTAGGGGTAATACAGTAATTTAGTTCAAAATATTCGACAAGTACATCAAAAGTAAACAACTAGTAGGGGTAATATAGTAATTAAGTTTAAAAGATTACCCCACACTACATCAAAATATATATCACATGCATTACCCCACTACACCAAAACCAAATTACTCTAAGGTCACAGGTTTGTCTTGGTTGCATCCAGTTCCACCCTTGACTTTAACATTTTTCTGAAGACCAATTTCTATGATTCTTTCTGAAAACTTTCTCACCCTACCAGCATCATTCAAAGGTACCTTCTTCATAGGACTTCTCTTCACATGAGCCTTCTTCACAGGAGCTTTCTTCACAGGAGTTCTCTTGACAGGAGCTTTCTTTAGAGGAACTTCATTTACAACAGGAGTAGGAGTGCTTGGAGCTGGAGTTGATTGACTTGGACCTGTTGTGCTTGGAGCTGGAGTTGGCTTACTTGGGCATGTGGCTTTGTTGTGGTCAGTTTGGTGGCAAATGGTACATCTTAAAGGAATGTCTGCCCTTGACACAGTATGCCTTGTGTGTCCACTTAGCTCTCTTTCTGCCTGATCTCTTTTCCTTTTGACACATGGCCTGCCAGGTAACCTCCTCCTTAATAGAGGTAAAATAGTATGAAGTCCTTCAACATGTGGACACTCAGAACTGTCATTGAGTGGGTGGATGTTATACTTATAGCTACTAAGGAAAGAGGCTTTAGTATAGGAGTTTGATACAAAAGCCTCCACATCTAGGTTCAATGATGAAATTGCTGATATAACATGTACACATGGAATGCCTGTGAGTTGCCAGCTTCTGCATCCACATGACCTCTGATTCAGATCAATAACATACCTCTCATTTCCTGAGAACACTTCAAATTCTTTGTAGCCACTCACATAAGGTACCCAAAATCTGTCAATATACAAGAAGATAGTTAGTTACCATTATAAACTAATGTATAACTAATGAAAGTGTTACTAACCTTTTCAATTCTTTCAAAATGGCTTAAAGTATTGTTCTCCTTTAAATTTTTTGTGGAAATTATCTAGAATGTGTCTATCACATAATCTATGCTCCACATCAGGAAGTATTTCCTTCACAGTTGTCGCACCCCCAAACTGGAACGGCGGAAACGTTCGGGGACGGAGGATTTCATGTATAGTATCACAACAATTGAATAATAGTAAGCAAAGCAACAACAACCATTGTATTGATATTAAAGCGTTTACATTGTATTCGAAACATGTATGCTTGACTCCAAAAGTAAATAGTAAAGTAAAGACTTGAAGCTACAATACTCCGTCTTCTAGGAGCCTGTACGTGTACCTGCCTACTAGTGTCCTAAGAATACAAGTGGTTTTGAAAGTGTCAACATTAAAGTTGGTGATTTCATAAGCGTTTAGTTTTAGAAAATAGGTTCTTTGTTCTTTGTAAAACATGATATGTTTCTCCAGAAAATCCTATATTTTCTGATGTAATGAATGATAAGTAAAATGACCCGTAATAGTTCCTTCTACGAGTACTTAGTGTATACAAGTCATATACAATCCTGATCGAACAGACAATCAATTGTGTAGTTCTGCCCCAAGCCCACAACCAAACAAGGAACAGAAAATAAGGCGGAAGCCACACATCCCACTGTCTGTCGGATCCTGATGTATATAACCATGTCGTATTCACTAAGTACTTATGGAGTTAACTGTAATGGTCCTTTAGAATGTAATCAATGTGTTCCTTAAGAAAATCCTATATTTTATTTGTAAGAATATGAATATACCAGTTCCTTCTATGACCACTTACTATATACTAACTATATGTAAGCCAAGATCGAACGGACAGTAGATTGTGTGGATCTGCCATAAGCCCACAACCAAACAAGGAACATGAAATGAGGCGGAAACCACACATTCTACTGTCTATCAGATATTCTTCATACATAACCTTGATGCATAAACTAAGGGATTGAAGAATTAACAATGATTGTTCATTAGTTGAATGGTAAACCGTTTGTTTGTAAAATACTGATGTTTGTCCTGGAAAATCCTATATTTTCCATATTAGTAAGTTGTTGACTTAAATGTTCTAAAACTGAAAAGTACAAGTATTTCCCATACTTAAGTTGTTAAAGTGTAGCTTTATTATTAAATAAAACTATCCGAAAACGTGTTTGTTATGTAAACTGGAAGTGATGTTAATACCCTCCTATGATCGCTTAGTGCATACGAGTTATAGAAGCGTAGATCGAACAGACAGTCGATTGGGTGATTCTTCCCTAAGCCCACAACCAAACAAGGAACAAGAAATGAGGCGGAAATCACACATCCCACTGCATGTCGGATGTTGATTTCATATTACCGTTGTGTATGTACTAAGTAATCACATAGTTATTAACCCTGAAGACTGTTTGTTAAGTATATTACTTCGTGAATGAGGCCATGTTATATCCAGGTGAGTTCTTATAACCATACTGATGGACGTTAAACCCTACGACGTACTTCAGACGTCGTAAATGTTAATGACGTTTGTCACCCAGAACGACTGTAGCTAATAGTCAGGGAGCGGGATTGTCAGTCCCGTATAGATCTATACACAAACTCACGCTCTCCCTCCAGGAGACTCTGGTTCATAAGGTAGACTTATCTAGGTACTCAGGTACGTACTCGATGCCGTCTCTCACAAATTTGTTCCCTCAACGAATTCACAAATAATACAATGAAAACTTTTTACAAATAGTATGTGTCTTAGTGAAAGTAGTACGTTCATTCCATAAAATATACTTATTATAGTTTATAAGTTTGTTTTTCCGTGTTAAAAATCTGTACTTGTAAAATAGTTGTGTCTTAACATGTTTTCTAAATTGTTTGTAAGTCTAGTAATCGCAATGGTTGCCATGTTTAGTAAGTTCCATGTTCAAATGCATGTTAACGGTAAGAAAATATAATAAGCAAAATTATATTTTTAAACACAAGATTACTTGTGTTTTACTTGTATTCTCCCCCCCTAAAAACATTGAAAAAAAAGCTTGGAAAAATGTGGGAGTATGAACTCACCTTAAATGTGCGTTAACTGGAAGTAGCGAGTTGTAGAGACGATCCCCGTGTAAGCGTACGCGCTCATAACATTACCCTAAAAATAATTGTATTCGTCGTCGTATTTAAATTAATAAGATATTAATTTAAATATATGAATAACTAATTAAAGTGTTAAACAACAGTTAAGTATTTATGAAAGTACTTACAATAGCTTAGGAAATAAATTGGAATGTAGAAATGGGGTTTTCGGTGGAAAAATGGGTAAATTCGGTCAAGGCTTGGTGAATTCGGTCAAGCTTGAAGATTTGAAGATATGAGTGTGTGTTCTTGGTGTTCTTGGTGTAAATAAGAAGATTTGAAGATCTTTTGGGCAAAAGCTTATGAGTTTTGAGAGAAAAATTAGCAAGAGTTCGGTGTGAAAAGTGAGGAAATGAAATTGAATTCGGTTGGAAACATATATATAGCAAATGGGAATTCGGTCTTAAGAGTTTGGGCCTTTTGGAGAAATCGGTCCTAATGGGCCCTTTTTAGGAGAATTCAGTCATGCCAAGACCGAATTCATCCTTGATTGTGTGCTATGGTGGAAAATAACAAGTTCCTTAGATTCCAAAAACCGAATTTAGGGTTTGGTTTCATTTATATGACTGAATTCTTGATTTCAATTCATTTCCTTAACCGAATTCATAAATAAATGGTGAATATTTATGTTTAAACCCTTAAACCTTTGATTTATATTACTTTATACTAACCTAAACCAACTTAGTTATCAATCCAAGCATAGATACAAGCTTAAAAACAAGCCCTTGTGGCTATAGAGGACACATTGCAACAAAGAGTGCAATATAGGTTCACTTGTGCTAGGTTAGGGTTTAGGCTTTGCTAAGTTTAAAATTTCGAGTTGTGACAACAGCTTCAAATAATCCATGATTCAAACAATTAAATGATTAGTTAATTAAATGATCAAAACAATTAAAGTTAATTCAAAAAAATAGAATGATTACCTTGTGGCCACCTGAGAGGATTATAATGCCATTACCATTCCCCCCTCCAATGTCTTCCATCAGGTTGTTCAAAAACCATTTCCATGTCCTTTTGTTCTCAACATTGACTACTGCCCAAGCTAAGGGATAGATGTTATTATTAGCATCTCTACCCACTGCTGATAGGAGCTCCCCTCTACATACACCGTTAAGAAAGCAACCATCAACCCCAATTACCTTTCTGCATCCATCTAACCACCCATCCACAACTCCATATTCTCATTTTGACTATCACTTCTGAATAAGAGATGCCTCTTTTCAGAATATGTCAATATGATCCTTCCAAAATTAGCATTATACTTCCAACTGTCCCTGAGCAACCAATCTTTGGTAAACCTCAGATTGTCCTTGACAATTGCTTAATCATTTTAGTCATATCCAATTCTAGACCTTTTCCCTTCTTAATGCCTCTGGGCATTTGGAAAAATTTAGAAAAGACAAATACTATAGCACATGCAATCGATCCTGTACCCAAAACAAATGGTACACGATTCATGATGTCTCACATAAAGACATGATTCTAGACCAGTCTTTTGCTACAATATTTTTATTTTCCATGTTTTCAAAATTTGACTATGAAGAGGGATGTCGTAATCATAATCAAATTTTGAGAACGCAATATATAGAATATCCTTAAGTTGAACCAATCCAACATGAAATTCATATATATATTCTTGACTAAGGATGATTAAGGTCTCAATCTAAGCCTTTAGAACTGAAATGAAGTATATCCTATCCCTTAATTATAGCAAAACAACTTTTTCAATCCCTGCAGCCTCACGAATTGAAACTTTTGTTTTCTATAATTAACATTGCTAACTTGCAACACTAACAATAATTATCATGCTCCCACTAACATGATAATTATTAGCATAACACTTATGCTCCCACTAGCTTTGACATGTACTCAGAAATCAGCTGGACTTCTAGAAATCAATACTTTATTGACTTTCTTACCAAAGTTCAGATTTCTGATACGAGATGCTTTGATAAAACTTTATCAAAATCATACACCTTTCCTTAGATAGCAAGCATGTGTGTCTAAACAATTTCAGAACTATGAAAAGGGATGCCGTAATCATAGTCTCAATTGTTTAGACCTTTTGCCATCTGCTTCAAATCTACTTGGTGGAAGTGTTTCCTCACCATCATTTTCATGAATCGAAGAGAAACCTTATGACCCTTAGATTTTATGGTGTATGTGTTCTTATCCATGTGAATCGTCAAAACCATAGTCACAAGACAAGGATAATGACAAATCCAAACTCATATGGACTGAACTTATGCAATCTTAACTTCTTGCCACCTGGCAGTACAGGGCCTGCCATTGCTTCCAAGTTGTTATGCAACCAATTGAGAACTTTCAGAACTCCTATGTAAAGCCAACTTTAACTGGAATGGGCACAGAATATGTCAACACGATAGGTTATAAACCTCAAGTCGTGTGCTAGTGAAGAACCTCAGGTTTTATTCTTGATTAGTTCTTGAAATTCTTTTTAGGATCTTTAAGACTCCCACTATCCTCTTGACATATAAGACTATCTTGCCAAATATTCAAGAGATAGTGCGGATTCTTTATCAAGACAAACACTTCACACAATTGGCCTTAGTTGGTCTTTGTTTTATCCAAAACATCACAACTTACCAATTTCAAATGTACAAGAGTAGGACACTTTTACTCTTACATTTGACAAGTGTTTTAACCTTTCTTTAAGATATGTCACTCAAGTTACAATCTTGGAGTATGACTCTAAGAATTGTTTTGGAACGAAGTATGACTCATCTTC